AAATCCATCCTGTCTTTCACTTTCACAAACACCATTTTCCCCATGTACCACGGCCTCTTCCCAGGCTGAGGGCTCCTGTGCTCGGCTTGGCTCATTCCCACCTGACCCTCTGGTCTCAGCTCAGGGCCTCTCACATCTGCCTCTAATGAGAGGTCAGGTCGGCTTCCCTCTCCCTGAGCCTCCTACACTCAGCCCTGAGCCTCCCACACTCAGAGCTGGGCGAGTATCACAGCACACTCCCCCCTCACCCTGTGCTCCCTCTTCCCTTCCCCCAAGAAGGCAGGGACCCTCCTGTGTTTCTCCTATTTGTGGAGCCAATGGCACAAGTAGGCGTGTGTAAAGGGAGAGATGTGAGCTGAGCTGTGGCTGGAGGAAGGAGGGAATGAGTGCTGGGGCTCGGCCAGCTCTGTCTCCATCAGGGATTCAGTAACTTGGATCCCTTCTTCCTGTTTCAGGGCTAGAACCCTCTCTCCCCCAACCCAGTTTAGACCCTTGGGGTTTCAGGAGCCTCAATGACAAGGAAGTGGAAATGGGCTGAGAGGGTGGCGGGAAATGCAGAGGGAACCTGAGTGAGTGCTGCTCAGAGGACGTGCCCTGGAGTTGGGGGTCTTCACCACTGGGGTCCTGGGAGCAAGTTTGGGCTGGCTTCCATTCCCACATCCTCTAGACTTCCCATGGGGCCCTGCAACTCCCATTGGTCCACACAGTCTCCCCCAGCTTCTTTCAGACCCAGCCAGGTCATTCCCACCCTCTCAGACTCCAGCGTCCCAGTCCCCGTGAGTGAGTCCCTCAACCTCATCCTCCGCCTCCCTCCCAGCCCTGTCTGTCCCCCTGGAGAGTGACTGTGGGGAGGGAGACATGCCCCGGGCCCCAGTCTGCTCTGACATCTCCCATGTCCCCCTGACAAATGCTCCCGATGTCACCAGAACTTGTGTCACCTGGAGAAGTCATTGGAGTGATGAGGATTCCGTTTCCTGGAGGGGGTAGAGGAGTGGAGTTTGGGGAAGGGATGGTGCGAATGGTGTAGATTTGGGCTGTGGTGAGGGTTTCTCAGCTCTGTGAGTTTATACTAAACCATTGACATATACACTTAGAACACGGGAGGTGTGAGGTTGGAGATTTCCTCATGATGGAGACTGAGATCCTGCTCTGCTTCCTCCCAGGGGTCTGGCCCAAACCCTCCCTCAGGGCCGAGCCAGGCCCTGTGGTCCCCCGGGGACGGCCTGTGACCTTGGTGTGCCGGGGCCCAGCTGGGGCTGACTTATTCCGCCTGGAGGAGGAAGGAGGATCTGTACGCCCTGATCAGAAAAGTGTGTCTCAAGATGGTTCACAGGGGACAGAGGCCAGATTCCTCTTCGTCTCGGAGAGTAAAGACACTGCTGGGAGCTACCTCTGCCTCTATCGTAAAGGTTACTACTGGTCTGAGCGCAGTGAGGCCCTACAGCTGAAGGTGACAAAGGAGGACGTCTCTACTCCGCCCTCAGGTTGGTCCCGGCGCCCTGCACCCTGTCACAGCTGTGTCTCTGTCCTCGGGCTCCCTGCCCTCCTGCTCAGCCCCAGCCCTGGGCTCTCCTCCCTCTGCACACATGGCCCTCGGATCAGGGCCCTGGAGTAGGTCTCATCTGGACACCAGGATGGCCTGGACCCTGAGCCTCGGGTCAGAGGGGACACAGAGTAGTCCCTGATGGGCTGTGTGGGGCCTGAGCTTCCAGCCACCAGGTGGGGACAGACCCCTTCATGGGGCCTTGAGTCCTTCCCCTCAGGATGGTGGTGCCCTGCCCTTTCCCCTGGCCAGGCTCTGTGGGGCCCAGGCAATGTGTCCCCTGGGGTCCGCCCTCCTTGGTCAAGTCCCGTGGTTCATGGGGTCCCTGACCAGTGCTGTGCGATGGTTCAGGCATTTTTTGGATGAGGCTGGCCCGGGCTTGGTGTGGTCAGAGCCTGAGATGAACTGGAATTAGGGTCCAGCAAGGACATGGAGAGGAATGGAGGGAGGGAGGGGAGAGGGAGGGGGGGAGTGGGGAGGAAGGAAGGAAGGAGAGAGGGAGCTGGGAGGGAGGGAAAATCCTTCCTTGAAAACTGAGTGACTTCGCTCTCCTGTCTCTACATCCTGCTGTGACTCAGACATCCATGGGTGGGAGCACATGCCCTGTGGTGACCCCCATCCACCAGGCCTGAGGTGTCCACCCAGTTGATCCTGACCCTGTGACCCTCCCTGCCCCAGGGGACTGTGGGTGGCTCAGTGGCTGGGTGAGGTGAGCTCAGAGTCCAGGCCCTGTGACCCTGTGGCCGGGTCAGGGCGCTCCCACCCTGTGTGTCCATGGGCCAGGACCAGCTGCTCTGTGCTAATGTAGGGAGGATGGCGGGACGTTCTGAGGGGGGGCCAGCCCCGCAGAAAAGTGGAAGCAGAGAGGGTGCCACCGGGGTACCACGTCTCCCGGTGCCCTTTCTGGGGGGTTTCAGGGGCGTCGTCTATACTGGGAGGTGCAGAGAAAGAGGCCAGGTGATGGCGCTGTGGGCGGTGAAGGGCCAGGTGAGTGGGGCAGGCAAAGTAGAAGTTGGGCTCAGTGCTTTCCTGGACCCTTTCAGGGGAGCCCCTGGGGACCTCAACTCTCACCCTGATCGTGGGCTGGGGAGGGGACCAAAGCCTGGGTGTCCCCTCTTCGGACTCTGCTGGGCAGTGGGCAGTGGGGTGGCCGTGGGCAGGGGCTCTGACTCTCTCACTGTGGGGCACACAGGGAGGGCAGTGACATTTACATCCTTAACAGCAAGAGACCGGTTCACCCCTGGCGGGGGGTGGGGAGTGAGGGGGGGTGAGAGCCAGGAGGGAGATGCGCTAGCTCCCCGCTGGAGTTTGATGAAATGCAGGTTTCCATTTGGCAGCTGGGCCTGCCCTGGGGTCCTCTAGGAGACTGGCTGTGGCACCTGGGGACGTGCACCTAGGGCTCCTGAGGTGTTGAAGGTGGAGGTATTCCTGGGGCGGGGCCTGGGTGCTCCCCATGGAGGGAGGTTCCCTGGGGGAATTAGGAGGCAGGGCGTCCAGAGAAGGGGAGCAGCTGCCTGAGACGTCTGTCACCGTTTTCTGTCTCCTAGCAACACGCCCTGCCCTCACCCTCCCACCAACAGAAGTGACACCTTCACCCACAGAAATGGCCTCCCAGACAGCTCAGCCATCGGGGAGTGTGCACAGGGGTGTAGAGGAAGGGGCAGGTCCCCCCCATTGAGAAGGCGCTCCAGCCTCCTAGGGTCTGGCCTGACCTGGCCCTGTCCACCTGTCAGTGACCACTGCCCTCTGCTTCCAGGCCCCGCCTCCCGGGATTACACGGTGGAGAACAGCATCCGCTTGGGCCTGGTGGGCGTGGTGTTGCTGATCCTGGTGGCGATTCTGGTGGAAGCTGGGCTCAGCCAGCGCAGGTCCCCACAGGGACCACAGGAGTAAACACAAGGGAGCCCCCCAGCGAGAGGGGACCCCAGGGCCCCAGAAGGGACCTCCCCGAGGGCCCAAGGCTCACCCTGGAGCCCAGGAGACCCAGAGCCACCCCCGCTGTTGTTCAAGGACAAGAGAACCCAGGCCCACGTGGGTGAGGATGGTTGGCCTCAACCTTCATCTTCCCAGGACCATTGAGAGGAGTCAGCTTGATTGACAGGCAGCCAGACAGGGCAGTGCCCCACGGGAAACAAAGGCAGGTGGAA